TCGAAGCGGTGAAAAGCCGTCAGAGGAGTATCCTTGAATATGACGACTACAAGACCGACGGCTTGGAGAATCAGCTGGTAAACTTCGTTGCAACTTCTGCTGACTGGAGGATGAAAGATGTTTGGTCTTTTTCGACCCCTCGGCATATAAACCTTTTGGAGATGAAGAGTCTTGTCAGATTGAGTGAAAAGCTTGCTCGTTCACCTTCAGCCCTTTCGATGTTCAGCTTCAAAAGGAAGGACTTCAAGCAGAGCCTTAGCTCCTTTTGTGAGAAAGTTTGGTGCCACCTGCGTGGCTGCTGGCCTTTATTTTGCACTGCCTTTCGTGCCTACCAGGTTGAATACAGCAGATGATCCTACCAGAGATCGTGAAGTACGACAGGCATGGAGCATTCCACGGCTCGGAGACCTTTCAAACGAAGACATTCAGTGTCTGTGCTCGCTTCCAAAGCTTCGTCGCTGGGCCTCGAATTGGGTCAGGCTTGTCTGTGGACTTTATGGATTTCATGGACTTGAAGTCTTTTCTCAGACCGGCCGCCTTCATGGACTTCCGTGGCTCCCGGTGCCAAGGTCGTCATCCCTCCCAGCAGCTTATTCTCCTCCTGGCTCCACCAGACTCCTTTTTGACCTGCTGAACTGTTGTGATTTTTGTGGCTTCAATCTGAGGTACTTATAATATTGATGTTGAATCTGTGAACAGTATTTCTTCACACAGGCCTGTTTTGAAGCGGCAACTTCAGCCTGCATGGAACTTAGTTTTTGCGTGGGTACGTGAAGAAAGGCCACAGCACCATATAGCCATGCCTTGGCAAGCGCTGCTGGGTATGTTGAGTGTTGCTATAGGCTGGGGATGGATAGAGATGGCAGGACTTCTTGCTCTTGGATGGGGTTCTTTGTTGAGGACCAGTGAAATCACTGGAGCCGTCCGCAAGGACTTACTGTTGCCAGCCTAAAACTAGGTTTGTTGCTGCGCGACAAAATTGGATATCCCAGATCTGCTCAAGCTGGTTGAAATCTCCTTTGCTGATCTAATGCCGCATCAACCATTGTGGCCGTTCTCCACAGCTACATTTAGACAACGCTTCCAGGACATCCTCCGTGCATTGTCGTTGCAAACCGGAGTCCTCCAGGGTCACAAGACCCTGGACGCTGGGTCGCTCAGACCTGGCAGAGCGACGTGGCAACTTCAATGTACCGAGGATTCGGAGTTTGTTGGACGGCGTGGAAGGTGGATCAATGCGAAAGTAATGGAGATATACATCCAGGAGATCGGATCTTTTCAGTTTTTAGCTTCGATGGCACAAGAACAACGGGCTCGAGTGATACAGATGGCTGGCATGTTCCCTACTTTTTTACAGAAGGCAATACAGTTGAAAAGAGCAAAGATTCCTTGCTGTGCGTGGTACCCACTGCTCATGAGGAGCGCAGAGCCTTGAGCTGATGTAGTGGGTGTGGACGTTATGGGTGTTGAAAGTGGCCTGACGGCCAATGAAGCATGGCCTGTTGGCCACAACTTGTTGCACCCTGCAAGCACAGAGAAGAAAAGGTGCTGGAGTTGAGAGTTTTATAAACATGTCTCTTCTTTACCTTTGCAGAATCAGATACATACAACATGCGGAAACAGGTGTACGAGGGTGCCAATTCTGCCATTCTCGTAGTTTGCTCGTTTGCCCATTGTCCATCTCCGCTGCGCCAGGATCTCAGCCTTTCCGCTGCGAAAGCTCAGTCTCAGGCAGAAATAGCAGATAGATGCAGATAGCATGGACTGTTGTGGCTGGAAAGTGGGGCGTGCTAGGCAGATCTGGGTAGATTGGAGTGGGCTTTAAAGATCTTTAAACTTTAAACTAAGAAGACCCTCCCAAGACCTTCGACTACTTCGCTCCAGCGATTCGATTCGAAAAGCCCACTCGAAGAGCAGGTTCATCGCATCAAGTAAATCTGACTCTGATGATCTCGGATGCCTCACGTTTCGACGCACCCATGCACAAGTGTTTTTTCCATCCAGAAGCAAAGTTGCTATGAGGAAGTGATTCCGAAGGTAGCCCCATCATCAAGTCAGAGAACTCGACATCTAGGTCCCAAGTTGGCAGTTCACCTTGTCGCCGTGCCTGAGTTTCTGGGTGTTCTTGTACTCCCAGGCGGAAGCCAAGCTGGAAATGGAGGAGGAAATCCAAATCGAAGAAGGCCGTGCAGGGGTGAAACGCCTCGGTGAACTCGGAACCACCGAGGTGTTGGAATCCACGTGGAATCCACGTGTCACGTGTCATGTGACCGGTTGGTGAGTTTGATGTTCTCTACTGGGTGTGGAACAAGTGTGTCCTAGATTAGTTTGGTGTAGTAACTGCCTTGAAGGTGGAGCATGCAACGAGATGACATTTCTGCAGAAGTGCGGTTTTTGGTGCATTTGAACTTTGGGATTGTGAATGGAAGGTGTTTGTGGACGACATGCAATTCTCTTGGGTACGATGAAGGATCTGTCAACACTACGGTTGGTGGACAAGAGAGGAACAATACCTCAACCCGTGCATACTGGCATATCTAGTTCGTTTAGTCCTTCATTTCAGGGGAACTTGTCTACGGGTCTTTGGCTGCTTTGGGGGTTGCGTCCTAAATGGAAACTTCTGAAATGCTCGACGTCGGGCCCATTCCTGGGTTGAACAACATATGTTTTTGGTGTTTTTTTGCGGTCATTCAAGGTGGATGACTCTCAGATGACGTCATTCACTGCGATGATTGAATGTGTCATATTTGGGCAATTTCTCATCCCCCAAACCCATGTTTTACTCACATTGAACACACAGGGTGATTTTTGAAGACTTTTGGTTCACTCCTTCATGGCTCAGACTCTCAGCTTCTCAAAAGACCTCGTACATATCACATATATATATATATATCATCAGGATCGCAAGGTAGCAAACCAAAAGAACCTTGGGCCACCTTCCGGATGATCCCCAAGAGACTTCGGATCTACTTCGGATCTGCGTGGCACTCGGCGGCTGAAAGCTCGCTTGCTGTTTCAGCGAACGAGGCACTGCCTGGAGAGACTGGAAGGAACGGAGCTTGGCGACGACCTACAAGGCGTTAGGACGTCCGTGGGTAGCGGCGGAGCGGAGTCTGCGCCGCACATCGAGTAGACGGCTTGTTGTCGATGTGATGATTTGGACGAGTCGAAGAGAGGTGGCAACCCCAAAGGAGCTGGAGGCCAGCAGACCAATTCGACCAGTGGGATGGATTGGGTATACCTGGATGATCTCCTGCCAGCGGGATGGATTGGGTATGCCTGGATGATCTCCTGCGGCTTTTTTGGATGAGTGGGCGAGGGAATCTTCGTGCATGGTGGTGCATTTCTCATCCGCATTGTTTCACTGTTCACCTTCTACTGTAAGGTGGGTGATAAGAGTGGTGATAAGTCGTATATCTCCTTCTTCTTCTCATCTCTCCCATGGCTCTCTGCCTTTTGCCCCCCTCTGAGACCCATGGAATCCCGACTTGTCGGGGATTCCTTCTCTGGGGGGATCGGATCGTCGAGTCGCGAGGGCTCCAAAGAGAAGACCGAGCTTTGAGCGCAGCAGCCGGTGCCGTAGCCGGGCGATGTGGCGTAGCTCGCGCGGAGCTCCACTTTCGGGCGGCGCGGAGCTGGGCTCCACAGGTGGAGTTGTTTGGGGGGTCTGCAAAGCGTGTTGTTGGATCACAAGGGGTTGGCTTGAGGGCTAGGAACAGGGTGGAAGGCGCGAGGCTATAGCTGCTTGGGACACATGCAGAATCTGGAGACAGAGGATGATGGCCATTTGCTTAGGGCAAGGCTTTTTACTGTATTTTAGATGCCACTTGGATTTGGTCGCTCCTGAATTTTGCTAGAGCCCCAGAACAAAGCCAATCAAAATAACATCCTGCCAAATTTCTGTGTGAACTGAACACCTGTTCCTCCAGACATGGTGCCCAGCCAAACACACTCCACCCTTTTGTTGCATAGCTAGGGGCCCTCCAAGCGAGGGCAGGTAGTGCTTCAGCACTCAAAGACCAGCAATGCCTCATTCCGTTGTGGGCAGCACTTGATCGGTGCTTGCTCCCTGTGGGGTTGCTTCACGAGAACCAAAAGACCTGCGCACGACAACGCGGAGTTTCTTTTATGGGTCGGCGCCGGCTTCTGCCGATCTGGGAAGACTTGTTGGAGAGGATTCTGCCCCCCCTCTCCATCACGCAGAGATCCGGCAGAGATTCGCTCTTGGGTCCAAGACCTGATCAAAAAAGGCCCCTCGTTCGTTGCAGATGAGATGTTTGCCGTGTTCGTTCCTATTTTTCGGGGCCGAAACCCAAAGATCACGGCAACACCATTTCAGGCCAGTGATTGGTACTGAGACAAAGCTGGACATAGCTGGACATAGCTGGACTCTTAAGGAAATGGAGTGGGCCCCTACACATGGACCTTCCCCAATGATTTTGTTTCTCCCGAATGAACCGCCGGTGGTTCTGTAGTGGGTCTATTCCCAAGTTCTCGCATATGGACCCGACCATAGAATTTTAAGCCCAATCGTGGACGCCTCAGGTGGCAGGCAATGGGTCAAAACCACAAACCCTGCCAGATGAACGTCACCAGTAAGAATTACTTTGTTGAGCTCGGAGCCTTCACCAAGGGCGACTGGTTTTCAACCCTGCGCTGAGCGCTTTGTGCGCTCCACAACTCTCAGAGTGCATTGGCCTTAGTCACGTTAGAGCATAGCTTTTCCTTCAAGCACTGCTGGGATCCGATGGGTCAATCCCCTTGTGGGAATATATCATTGCATTTTTTTGCCGGTTCCTTAATACAGCAAATCCAAGTACTTCAATCATTCTACATAGCTTTGCACTTTCTGAGAACTCAAGCGGCTGAAACCTCACGGACCCACTCCAGAAGCGGCCGGCTCTTTAGACTTGGTGGGCCCCCCTGTGGGGCGCCAACCAACCACCTACTCACCACCTACTCACCAGTAACCACTCCTCACCCACCACTCACCCACCATACTCAAACAGACCGCCTAACGGGCCGCAGCCACAGCGCTCCGCTGGCGCCATGCCGAAGAAGACCCACGGCCGCCCGCTGAGTGCCACCCGCTGGCGCGAGCGGACGCCGCGCGCGGCGGGCCGGGCGGGTCACGCGGTGGACGCGGTGGACACCGCGGTGGCGGTGTCTGTGGAGCTGAAGCGGAAGAAAAGCTTCGAGAGTTTGAAGCAGAAGTTAAGACTCCTGACCTGTGAAATAGAGTAAAACAAGATAAAACAAGAGTGAAGCATAAGTGAGACAAGAGTAGGACAGGATCATTTGATTGACATTTTTGGCTGCAAAGATATGAGCTTTTGACCTCAGATGGCAATTTTTTTAGTTCCTTTCAAGCGGACACCTTTCCAGTTTGTGCTTCGCTTTTGTACCACTCCAATGCATTCCATCGTTAATTGTTCTTGCGCTTGCCAACGACTAATGTCTATGACCGCGTTTGAACTACACGCTTTTGACCTACTGTTTGGCCAAACTCCTTACCCATCTTTAAATGGACACAGTAGCCAGCTCCTACTCATATCCCTTCTCTGACGCCAAGGACGCTGGTGCACGGCTTCGGGTGACAACCGATACCCCAGCATGGCCTTTGAACGCTGGTGGCTCTCGGCGACCTTATCCTCGCACGGCGGCGACCCGCTGTTGCCGGAGCTTCGGGCGGAGAACGAGGCGGTCCTGGCGAGACGCGGTGGCGGAACCGGGAGATGGGGGAAACCGTATGACTCCGGTGCTCCGAAGTGAAGCAGTGGAAAGCCTACTGAATTCTGACCTATTGCGTTCTGACCTTTAGTCGAAGTCATTGGTTTTGGAATGTTTTGGAATGTTTTGGTTTGGTGGAAAGGATATGAAAGAAGCTCCCAGTTCCAGTTGGCCACCAGGTGCTCAGCAGCGACCTCCAAGCCGTGGGCTTTCTGCCGCACGAAGCCCAGCAGCTGGTGCAACGACTGCACAGCGCCTCCGCAGGGCTGGCACGGCATCTGCGGGACGCAAAGATGCCCAGCGACGAGCACGTGGAGGTGGGCCACGTGGACGTGGGTCGATGTGGGGAGGGTGATGGGTTGGGCTGTGATGGGGTGATGATGTCTAAGGTGCAAATGGATTTCCTGAAGTTCTTTCTCAACAGTGAAGCTTAGGGGCAGATGCCAAGATACAAGCATCGTATGCTGAATGCTGACGTGCCCCGCAATAGACCCCGGGCAGGCACATTTGTTATCACAATTGGCACCTCAACCTTGCCTGCAACTTTGCCTCACATGTAGCACGTGCAAACCCGGCATGGTGGCACAGCGGAGCCCGCTTTCAATAGACACGGGTTTTCTCAGCGCATGTGTTTCTGTCAAATCCAGTAAAGTAACAAAGATCAAGTCGAGTTGCGAAAAAAAACGAGTGTCAATTTCCCGTATTATATAGAGGAAATGGCTTTCCAGATTGATTCCAGATTCTCCATGGCTCAAAACCGGGAAGAAAGGATCTCTCTCCAACACCCCGACAACGAGCGAACGAGCGAATTGCTGAACCAGCAGGATGCAGGACAGAGTTTTGGGGTAGCAATGAAGTAAGCTCATCATTCGGCATTCGGATCCGTTTCCATGCAAATGTTTCATTTTATATATCATCACTATATTATGAAGTAAATAAACTAATCATATCTAATTACTGTAATCATCATCATTCAACATGTTCTTTATCGCATGGGTTTAGGATGCAGGACCTGCTCTCCCGCAACACTGCCAGCTCCCTTGGGAGCGGCGAGTTCGCCGCCGCCGATATTCTCAGCGATTCGCGGCGCACGCAAAAAAATTGAGCGCCACTGTGATCAGGTGGAGTTTTCCGATCAAGGAGAGGTCCTGCTTCGCAGTGCTGGCGCGTCCGTGCGGCTTGCAGCTGCGGCGTACCAGAAGTTGCAGAAACTCTACCAGATGCACTGCAAGAAGGACGGGATCATTTGAAATTGTCCTTTTTTCCCGAATGCGTAGCGAAGGGTTCTCGTTTAACTCTGGGGGTCTGGGGGTAGAGCCTTGTTCGCGACCCGTTCGTTGTTTCTATGTTCGCAAAACCGTCCGCAACCGTTCGCAACCGTTCGCAACCGTTCGCAACCGTTCGCGGTAGAGCGCTAAGGCGCTGCCATTGGGGGAAGCTTTTGCAAGTGACTTTTCATGGATGTGTCACGTGTCAGTTTGCGCGCTATTCCATTGTGACTTGCATGAAAAAGACATGTCGCGCAAGCACCGTGATGCGTTTCGCTGCACAGGCGCAGCGTTTGGTGAGATCTGCAGATTGCTGCGCAGTTCCATTGGGATTAGCGTTTGGAGAGTCGTGTTTTTGGGGTGTTGGATGTGGCCGTGCCATTGGGATTTGCGCTTCAGGGTGTGGCATCGAAGCTTTGTTTTCGTGACAAGTCTCAGCTGAAATGCCGATTTTGGTGGAGGGGAGTGTGCTCAGAACGGGTCGAAATCATTCCAAACGTGTGGCGTGGTGCAAATTTTGTTGAAGCTCACATGAGATGACATTGTTACTTTTCGTGGCAGGCGCAGGACTTTGTGCAGGTTTTGAGGTGTGGAAGTGGGATTTTCGTGGCAGGCGCAGGGAATCGTGAGGTTGCGATGTGTGACGGAGGTGACATTTCGTGGCAGGCGCAGTACTTTGTGCGCGTTAGACGTGTGGACGCGGAAAGATTCGTGGCAGGCGCAGGGAATCGGGAGGTTGTGAGTTGTGGTAGAGGTGAATGTCGCTGTCACATTGGGATTGGCGTGTGAGCGGGTGTCGTTTGGAGGGGCTGGAATCGCGAAATTGCTTGGCAGGGCTGCGTGATGTGTGTGCTCCGATGGGTGTTTCCGCTGGACTTTTGGAGGAAGTCTCGTGCGAAACGCTCGTTTTTGAGACTTGACGCGTGACTTTTGGAGGAAGTAGTCTCGAACGAAACGCTCGTCTTGCAGCCTCGCAGCGTGACTTTTCGAGGAAGTCTCGTACGAAGAGTGTTCCCTACAGGAGTGTCCCACAAGAGTGTCCTACAAGAGTGTCCCACAAGAGTGTCCTACAAGAGTATCCCACAAGAGTGTCCCACAAGAGTGTCCCGTATGAGTGTCCCACAAGAGTGTCCCACAACAGTGTCCCGCATGTCCCACAACAGTGTCCTACAAGAGTGTCCCACAAGAGTGTTCCATATGAGTGTCCCACAAGAGTGTCCTACAAGAGTGTCCCACAAGTGTGTCCCACAAGAGTGTCCCACAAGAGTGTCCCATAAGAGTGACCCACAAGAGTGTCCTACAAGAGTGTGCAAAAAGAGTGTCCCGTAAGAGTGTCCCACAAGAGTGTCCTACAAGAGTGTCCCACAAGAGTGTCCTACAAGAGTGTCCCGTAAGAGTGTCTCACAAGAGTGTCCCACAAGAGTGTCCCGCAACCATGTCCCACAAGAGTGTAGTTAAGAGTGTCCATATAAGAGTGTCCCACAAGAGTGTCCCACCAGAGTGCCCTACAAGAGTGTCCCACAAGAGTGTCCTACAAGAGTGTCCCACAAGAGTGTCCTACAAGAGTATCCCACAAGGGTTTCCTACAAGAGTGTCCTATAAGAGTGTCCCACAAGAGTGTCCCACAAGAGTGTCGTACAAGAGTGTCCCACAAGAGTGTCCCGCAAGAGTGTCCCAAATGAGTGTCCCACAGGAGTGTCCCACAAGAGTGTCCCGCAACAGTGTCCCGCAAGAGTGTCTCACAAGAGTGTCCCTTAAGAGTGTCCCACAGGAGTGTCCCACAAGAGTGTCCCATAACAGTGTCTCACAAGAGTGTCCCTTAAGAGTGTCCCACAAGAGTGTCCCACAACAGTGTCCCACAAGAGTGTGTCCCACAAGAGTGTCCTACAAGAGTGTCCCACAAGAGTGTCCTACAAGAGTGTCCCGTAAGAGTGTCTCACAAGAGTGTCCCACAAGAGTGTCCCGCAACCATGTCGCACAAGAGTGTAGTTAAGAGTGTCCATATAAGAGTGTCCCACAAGAGTGTCCCACCAGAGTGCCCCACAAGAGTTTTTCCTACAAGAGTGTCCCACAAGAGTGTCCCACAAGAGTGTCTCACAAGAGTGTCCTGCAAGAGTGTCCCACAAGAGTGTCTTACAAGAGTGTCCCAAATGAGTGTCCCACAAGAGTGTCCTACAAGAGTGTCCCGCAACAGTGTCCCGCAAGAGTGTCTCGCAAGAGTGTCCCTTAAGAGTGTCCCACAAGAGTGTCCTGCAACAGTGTCCCACAAGAGTGTCCTACAAGAGTGTCCCACAAGAGCTTCCCAACAGTGTCCCACAAGAGTGCCCCACAAGAGTGTCCCATAAGAGTGTCCTACAGGAGTATCCCACAAGAGTGTCCCGTAAGAGTGTCCCACAAGAGTTTCCTACAAGAGTGACCCACAAGAGTGTCCCACAAGAGTGTCCTACAAGAGTGTCATTTGGACATATGTAGCTTTTTGAACGTGTTTGCATTCGGGTTCGTGGGCTCCATCTTGTTTCTTTTTTCGGTGGCACTTCGAAGGATTTATTCCATGTGGAAGACTTCAAGATGCAGGGGGTTCCAGCACTGTCAAGTTGGTGAACCGACTTTTTGACATTGTTCAGGATTTCTTGCAGGAAATTCTTGTGAACTTTCAGTGGGACGAAGCCGTTGAATTCTTGACTTTGGAAACCTTCAAGTCTGGGTGGGTGAGAGGGACTTTGGGCCCCTTTGGCCAATCAGAGACTCGATCGCACGACTGAGGACACGGAGGACTTCAAACGGGCAGCGCTGGTGGTAGCTTTGAGATGCTCGGTGGTCGATTTTTGAAGAGAGCTGCCGCTATTACCAGCTGCTACCCTCTACATACAAAAACTGCTGTTTATGTGATGTTAGCTGCCAGCCAGCCTGTGCCCCTATCTTTGGGCTAGTGCAGTCATACGGTCACACCGTCATGCTCCACTAGCTAGAAAATGTGGCAATGAGGACTAAAGTAACAAAAGATTCATTTTGATGTCATTTCCTGTGCAACGCATGTGGATGTTCGTTAGATTCTCTCGACGGCCTCCGAGGATATCAAAGCCTGGGCGGGACTGGCTTTCAGCTGGCCTTGCCGGTGTCTGCGTGGCAAGTACTGGAGGAGGACTTTGAAGTTGAGGCAGTCTTCGATGAGAGAAGGGGTTACATGACACCCACTGACACCCACAAATGTGGCTAGGTGGGAGCTGGAGCAAGGGATTTCAGACCTAACCCATCCATCTTGGTCGACCCCAAAGGGGGTACCTGAAGACGCCCACCAATCTCAGTGGATATCACTTGATCCTTATATATATATGCATTGAGATTGATGGGGTCTTTCATATCCTATCATCATCTTTGCGGGCTTTCAACCAGAATCATTCTCATTTCCAGACTTGAGAGCCTCTTTGTTCCTCTGTTTCCTTTTCAGGGCCTCCAGCGACAGCAGCTCGAGTCCCCTGCAACGACCGGTGCGCTCGGGGTGCTCCGCGCAAGGCTGAATGCTTTGCGTCGCCCTTCAACTGTTGGCGCCGCGCTCAGCAGGGCCGTGCCGAGAACGATGGAGAGAAGTGACATGCAGACAGGATAACGGGTGTTGGGAACAAAAAGAAGGGGGGAGCCTGGTGCTCCAAAGGTATCCAAACTCCTACAAGTCTAAAGACCCAGTAAAACTTGGCCTTTACCTTCTTCAGTAATTGAACTATGTAATTGACCTGCAGTAGGGAAAGGTTTCTTCATCAACTTTAGAATCTTTGGGGGTCCCAGATCAGTACATTGAAAGCACTCCTGTTTCTCAGGTCCTGAGTTACTGCAGACATTTGCAGGCTCCTGGCGCACCTGCGCATCGTTGTGTGCCTGCACACCCCAGGTTTCCCAGCTATTGCAGTGCCTTCCCAGATAGTCGGCGCACCAAGACGAGAGGAGAGGCGTCCAGTGGTCTTCTAGGCACATGAGCAGCATGTGATAGGGTACTAGACTTGGGATGACTTGGGCGTTTGCCTTTATATTTTTGGGACTAGGTTTTTGGAGGATTCACTCTGTGACGGCATGGGATAGGTTTTCAGTTTGGGTGGAGGACACAAGATGAAGAGGCGTTGCCATTTGTTCGTGGTGCGGGGGATTAGGCGGCGCCTAGATCAAAACGTTATATATATCTTTCGTCAATCATCGACCTGCTCGCGATCACCTGTCCAAGCTCTCGCCTCAACTCGCCGCTCCGAACAGCGTTTTCCGTATCCCAACGTCTTCCCACGTTCGCGCCCCCAGTTCGCGCGAACGCCCTACCTGCCTGACTGCGCCATGAACGGCCTGAGCAGCCTCAATCTGGCGCGTCCACGTGCCGTCGCTTGCTCTGGAAGGCGGAGATGGTTGCTTGGCCCTTCTTTCTGGGTGGCATGAATGGGACAAGCCATGTTTGGGCTAGCAGGCTTACGCTGAGATCGGCAGGGTATGGGTGGCTTCATTCCGCAGGCTCTTTTCCAATGCCTTCATCCATGTTCAGTTTTCAAAGACTTCCGTCTTTGGGAGAATCAGCTACAACAAATTGGTCAGTGCCCCCACACTAAACCTCAACTAAACCTAATGCAACAGCACCAGACGGTTGACAGATATTTTCTGCGTGGGTGGTGATGGCGCTAACACCACGGGGTCCTGCTTTGAAGTTTTAAGATGATCTCTCCATTCTATTGAATCGGTTTCTCCAAGGTCGGTCCAACCACTAAGCGGCACCAAGTGTCAGCAAGGGGCGTTCAAAGATGAATATAAAGGAGCAACACCTCAGATAGAGGACATAGGAGTCTAAGGGAATCTAAGGGACCTTTTGTGATGCTGCATAGCTCGCCCATCCAAACCGATCAACCACCTTTTCGCCCCTGTTTTCGGTCGCCCTTCCGACGCCCCTGTTTTTGGTCGGTCGCCTCCCGAGCCGGCCTCGGTGATGGACCGAGTTGCTAGAGTTCCCCCCCAAGGCTGCCTGCTCTGATGCTGGCGACCCTGGGCATAAGCTTCGTGCCAGGCAGGATCGATTGATCCATCGATCCGCATGGTGGGAAGGACCCTTGGAACGACCTGGTGAATGACCCGGTGAACGACCCGGAGGTTCGGTTTCTTCTATGGTGGACTGAGGAAGAGATGCCTCCAAACCACCCAAGTCAGGGAGCTTGGGCTGTGCAGTTCATTTCCTTCACGTTGGCGCCAATTCATAGAGCTTAGGTGAGCCTGACTCAGTAGACGACTTAGTGACTACCGAATTATTGTAGTCGTTCGGGGGCATTTGACCTAGGGAGCTGACTCACAGCATTGAGTGAGGTTCACGGAGACAGATTTGTAAAATGACCCTTCTTTAAGCCTTAAGTAGAGAATTTGGAACAATCCAAGTCAAGTGTCATGATATGTCCTTAAACCATCACAGTCTCACAGTTTTCATCTATCCTACTTGAGAAGGGATGTCCTGGATGGCAGAAGCCACCGGCGTGGCGATGTCGCCCCTGCCCGCGCCACAGCACAGGCGCTCGTCCCTTTCGTGGCAGCGTGAGCCCTCGGAGCTTGTCGTCCCGAGAAGCTTTCCCTTGGGATGCCGAGGGCAACGCCAAGGCACGAAGGGTACTGTAGGTGGTCGGTGGTACTATAGGTGGGTGGTTGTGCCCGGTTTGCCTATGGTGGTTGTGGTGGGTGGATCATTAGTGACTTAGTGAAGAGCAACTTCAATGGAAGATGAGAGTGGTATAACAGGGTGTGATAGGTAGCCAGATCCAATTCTTCAGTTGGTGAGGTATGGTGGGAAAAAGAACACATAATTAAAAGTTAGCAACACGAAACAAAGCAGGGCAACAGATTTGAACAAGTACATCAAGTCCTGCGTTTCTTTCCATCTGGTCCATCAACCAAACTCTTGTTCTATCCGCCCATGGACTGCCACCATGGCCCGCAGGCCGAGCGCGCATGGGCCTCGTTGCAGAAGTCGTACCCCAACGCTGTAGCAACGGGAGAGTACTTCGGTGGCGAGTGCAGCACCCTGGCAGATCTTATTCGGTCAACCTGACTGGCGATGGGTCATGGGGCTGGTGACGTTTTTTGATAACACATTGCTTGCAAAGCGTGTGGTGGAATTGGCTTCGCCAGTCTTTCCTCTTTCTTCTGGCAGGTGCTTTCGCGTTTGCTGGGTCACGAGCCATTCGAGCCATGATTCCTCTCAAAGGATCGTGATATCCCCTCAAAGGATCGGAAGGTGTGAAAATAAGACCCATGACACTCCATGTATGCGATACTGGCATGAAGCCTCGTAAATATGCCATCACAGGGAGTGTTTGGGAGTGTATACCATCATGCTCAGCATGCTCCAAACGCAAACGTGACGCCGTCGGGTTGGTCCGTTTGTTTAGGGCATACGAATGGGATAGCTAATGGGATCGTTTCTTGGGACTTCAACACCGGAAGCACCGTGCTTTCGTGGACTCTGTGCTTCCGTCCCTCCGCGGGCTTTTCGCCGCTTGCTGGATAGTGATTTGGTTCGGGACTCACCCGCTCAGAGCTGAAACAAAAGCCCAGAGGTGGAGACCCACCATGTAACCTGGAGAGTTGTATAGAGGAAAATCGTCTTCCACTTCCAGTCAGGTCCATGCCGTCAGGTTCCATGTGGCCACATCTGTCTTCTCCCCCAGGCAAGGGCACCATCATCAGCCGCTATGCCGCTGGGCTGAGCAACGTTCCGTTGGTTCCGTTGGTTGCATGGGCACACCATTTCCGGTGCAACAAAGAGCCTGAGTGCTTCGTCGAGATCCCAACATTTTTGTTTTCCTTGAACAATTGGAGAACCCTTCGTTTGAGGAGAACTGCCTCAGTTCCCCACATGCGCTGACACCGTTTGGGGTCCTCCACTCCTTGTGAATCACACAAAAATGGTTAGTATAGACCAGGAAACCTCTTCCCCACATCGGAATCGAGCTGTTGCGGTGTTTCTCAGAGCCGTCATGACGTCTCTCAGACAGCCCCGTTTCTCAGTGGAGCGATTTTCAGGAACGTTTGGGGCAGATCCTTGGGACAGACATTGCCCTGCAGATGGTGGAGAAGGAGCCGATTTTGCTCCTGATTGCCCCTGGGAATGCGTTGGAAGGGGTGTTGCCCAGGTTGGTTGAGAAAAGAACCCGGCTTGGATTCTTCAAGTGGTCGGGAAATTCCATGGAGAACAGCATTTTGAGCCTGCAAATAAGAGCCCTTCGAGATGCTTAGGGCGCCACCGTTGGTGTCCATGGGGGAAGACAAAATCATACAAAATGGAACTCTGAACAGAGTTGAAGTGCCAAGGATGCCAAAAGATCGGTTTTAGTGCACAGCATGAGCATAAGCAAGCTCTAATTGGGGAACACCCTGCGTTTTGGCCGTTTGCAATGGGGGATTGGAGGTTCTTTTTCGCGCCGACGACGCTTCAGCTAGCCAGGTGGATGAGGGTTGGTGAGAAGGATGAGGGCCCGGCGAGTCGAGTGAACCTAGGAGAGAGGATGTGTTGTTCTTATAGGGCAGAACTCAAGCCCCAAGTATTCTTAACTGGGAAATCCCAAAAACCAATGAATACAAAAGCGACTTGGTGTTGCGAAGGGTCTTCCGCGTCTCTAAAATCAAGTGTTATGCCCGAAAGACCCTGCGGGAAGTTTGGCTAGCTGCTCTGAATCACTCCT